TTTCCTGGTTTGGCAGCCTGAGCACAAATCTACTCATGTGGTGTTTACTTTGCTTTGAAAAAGAGATTTTTTAGATCTTCAGAAAATAAAGAACATAAAAATACTTAGGTAGCTAGATTGGCAAAAGTAAGGCCTCCCATGAACACAGTTTAAATGAGTGGAAATATTTCTGTTGACTTCCCTAGGGTTTGGATTAGCTCTTTAACACATGTGTAATAATTATTTTTTAACACGGTCAATCTTGGCAAATTATTGCTGTGATTCACTGAGTTTTTTGCTTGACACGCTGAGTTAGTGATTGACATTGTGCTGCTGCACTCAGTACTAAGGCTAAAGCAGTCTGGTTTCTTTGGTGTGTGCAGAGAGAAACAATAACTACTGCAAGCTCTGTCTCACCATAGTAGTTGCTGTCATGTGTCATGCCCTGCCTACCATCAATCTGTATTGGAAAACCAGTGTTTACAGAATTAGCTCAGGTTGGCCTTTTACTTACCAGGAGTGATTTACAAAGAAGCTGAAAATAGTTGGGGCTCTTGTTTCTAGTCTCAACATATTTTGCTGTGAAAATTACCAAATTTGGGACCAGTTCCAGTTTCCTGGCTTTATGCTGATGTGTCATTTGCTTTAGTAGCTTGGGTATCCTAGGGTGTGAAACTAGGCTCACAGCTTTTCTGTCCAACATTACGTTCCTAGTACTGGTTCCAACTGTATTGCTCTGAGTTCTAGATGCCAACAGTTACACTTTTTCACCCCTGCATCTGAATGTTTTCAAGTTTTGTATCTGAAGAGTACACTTTAGGACATGTCAAAACAAGTACCAAGTATTTGTTGGCATTTTATCTCCGTCTTTCCCATATTTTTGGATCTGATACCTGGCTACTTCACACCTGAGCGCATGCATCCATCCTGTTTTCTTCTAACCATCCCTGTTGCACAACTATGCCATCCTGCCTCCTCTTGCATCATCATAATGCCACAACAGAGTCAGTTTGGGGAGACAAAAGACTTCAGAGAGATGAGAGCCCTATCTGCATCAGATAGATGAGAGCAGTCTGTGCAGCAGTCAGATTGCGGATAGGTGGTCAAGGCCAGACTTTCAAAGATGCTGAGTTCACTTGCATATTTTTAACAGAGGTGTGGCAAATTTACTGATAACCACTAACCTAAGATATCTGCTTGTTTCGGTTGGATCACCTTAATTATTCCACACACTTTTTGGTGTCTTGCTTATTTTCTCATGAATCCGTTCTCTGCCTCCATCCCACAGCTCCCAAGCCCCATCGTCTCAACTTTTCCCTTCCCAAAGGACTATGCCAAAGGGAGTGTCTGACGATCCCCATCTACGTAGCCACAATTAACTGCCACACTCACCATGCCCAAGAGTTATTTTGCACCAGCAGATTTTGAGCCATGCGTCAAATTAGGTCAAAATTTGTCTGCAGTGGTTGTGCCTCCAAAATGTGATGCCACTTCTAGACATGAGGAGGGGCACAAATTTACACATGCATCACCTGTGAATGACTTTGGATTGTTTTTTTAGGAGAGGAAATCCACTGTTTTCCCACAGCTACGGCACACATTCTGTTTCATAGCACAATTATTTTTAAGGGTGTTCTTCCTTTTCATATTTTACAACCTTTGATTGCACATCCAGAGCTTTGGTTTCCTCTCCAAGTTGCTGCCTTGCCAAGGCATTTGAATTGTGACAGTTTCTGAGCTGGAATTTCCAATGTTTGAAATTAGGAACTGGGCTCAAACCAGTCACATTCATTAAAAGCCTTTGGGTAGTAGTGATTTGTAAGAACTATGAACCTGGGATAAACATGAGTTCAAATTCTTTACTTAGAAGGGCTATTAAGTATACCCAGCAAATATTCATACTGCTTGATGACGTGTGAGGGAGCATTTAACACATAATGGCTGACGAACAGCTGGAATTAAGTCCTTCAAGAATGACCAAAAGATTCTCATTATGGTATGTTGTGTCAATGGGAATTGTGGATTTTATAGATCTATAGTGGAGAAACTACAGTTGTATTCAAAGAGCTGGAGCAATTCTCTTGGCTGTTTGGGTGAACATTTAAAAAGCCACTCTCCCTCTTATTTTTTCTTCTAAAACACCACCCTCCCTCTACCCCCATTCAAACTCCTCAGGTAATTAATTGGAAATGACCCAGTTGCAGTGTTGTCAAAGTATTGACTAACACCCATCAAACCTGGGAAACTTGGGCTTCTTGAGCGCTCCCCTGCTTACCTCGTGCTGTTGTGCTGAGGGTATCACTGCAGTCTACAAAAAACACATGATCGTATGTACTGTACCATATGTTCACAAATACCAGCACACAGCAGCATGAATTAAGGATAGGATTTCAGCCTTCATAATGGAGAGTCTTGCTTTTATGAGTTCGAGTCAGACCCTTAACATTATTTTAACATAGATTTTGGTGTTTAATTATGTAATAAGATTTACTGCAGTCATCTAACAGATGTTGATTCAGGGTCAGTGTTTCTCATAAATTAGTTCTGAAAGGATTTGTTACTTCTGGGTCAGCAGATAGGTCCAGAGTGCAAAGAAAAAGGGGAAAAACAATAAACAGAGTTGAAGGGTTTCTTGGGATTCTTTCTTCAGTTACATATCCACATATTTTCATGATCTTAATGACTATAGCCACAGGAATGTTTGCTTTAACACTAAGATGGCTCAGGCCAAAACCCTATATCCAAACATCTGCAAAGCATGGGAAAGTTCAGACTTCAGGGCTTTCTATTTTATGACCCTGGCCGTTAATTTTTCATACTAATATGACACATTTTTCCTAGGGCTCTGCACTGGGAATCCCTGTGAACTCCAGCAGCACCTGAAAAAGTTTCATCTTCATGTGGTTTTTGTCAGACTTTGTGTATCAAGTGCAGCTAAAGGCTGGTGTTGGCCGATGTAGTTGTCATCACATACATACACTGAAAAGGTGCAACCACCTTCCTTTGAAAATTCAGCCTTCCCGTGTCTTTGGAAGCAAATCACACTGGTACATCTTACTGCTAGACCTCTCTGTTATACACCCTGCTGGTGATCTTATCTGCAATATAACTAAAACCACACGACATTATATTCATTCTTCTATAGTTGTGGTTAAAGGAGCTATACCATGTTAAAATACTTTTTCCTCCCCTCTAATTTAGGTGCAGACAAAGTCCTTTGAGACTGAAATCGTAACTCTTTATATCTTACTCTACTGAGAATACTTTGGAGGAAAGGGATTGAGGCACATTCAATAGTGTTTCTAGCACTTATGAGACAGTTTTAGCTTGCCACATGTTTTACAAATAGCGTGAATATTCACAATATTCCTCCACCTCAAGGTACGAGAGACTGAGTGATCTTCCCCAGGCTGAGATGTTCTAGGTAGAAATGTGACAACTTTGTTCATTCATTGCACGCTAAGACTGCTCAACCTATGAAACCATTTGCTGAACTTAATTGCCTTTGCCTTGGAAAGTTTAGGGGTTTCATACCTAAAACTCCACTTAGATGACTCCTTGCTATTAGAAAGAGCTCTGAAGTATTTCCCTGAACAGCAATCACACAGTGGCAAACTGCGAGTTCTGGACTCCTTGCAGAAGTAATGTGTGAGAGGAGGAAGAGCCCGTGGCCAGCTGCTGAGCCCCGGCCAGCAGAGCAGCGCTGAACCTGCTCCTTGTGAGCACTTAGACACAGCCCAGATCCCGGATCTCCCCACGATCCATCCCTGCCACAGGGGAAGTCCTCACAAGTGCTGATGTACGTTTGTGCCATGCAGCGCTGTAAATCTAAATAGCACTTTCCAGACTTAGGCTTGAAACTCCTCTTTTTCAGGAGTAATTTCATTTAAGTCGATGGATTTACACAATGGATTTACCGCTGCCAGAAGAGAATCAGGCCTGTAGAAAGACACATGTTCTTTGCCAAGAAAATCTCAGAGCTAACTACTTGAATTATGCAGTTGAGCTGCAGGGAGGTCAAGTGGACACATGACAGGACTGGGACATACGGGTTCAGACCTCAGCTCTTAAAATGTCATGTGGTGTGACCTCTGGCGAGTCAGTTCATCTCCTTACACCTCTCTTCCCCCATCTTTCTTTGTCTGACTTGCCTATTTAATTTGGAATTTGTTCCAAGAAGGGTGCTTCACTTCATGTGCTGGGGCAGGGCACTGACACCTCACCTCCCCGTTGCTGAAGGACAGTCTCAGAAGTCTTTGTTTCCTCACAACACTGACGCTCAACATCCACAAGCAGTGTTACACAAGACCATCAGCTGCCCATCAAAGACAAGCAGACCTGTCACTTGATGGGATAACACAACCATCCTAACACTGTATTGGAGGACTCTGGCACTTTCTGTTATTTCACAGTCAGGGTTGAGAGGTGGAAAAAGGCCATTATCAGAACATTTGCTTCACAGCTCTGATCACTAGAGATGCTTTAAAATGAAAGCTTTGACCCTTCAGAGTGGGGCTGTGAGCTTGTGATGAATTCAGCTGGCACCAAATGTGGGTCACTGGCTTGAAAAGCATCGAGCACTGGAATTTCTATATATATGTGTGTGGGTATGCGTGTGCAATTTTCAGCAGCAGAGTCAGGCCAGGAACCAGCGCTCCTGAAAGGCCCCATCTGTTTCTTTCAGCTCCTTCCCACAGCAGCTTGGTCGTTATTGGTGGCAAATGTCCAGAGTCACTTGTCAAGCATGAAGCTGCCAAAGATCATTAAAACACAATGGTCACCCCACCCCGTACCAGCCACCTGGAAAACTGTTTCAAAGAGAGTCTGATAAACACATATATGCTTATAAGACCCCAGACAGAGTCATGTATTTCCTACATGCTTTAATGAACTGAACAACAGCATGAGATGCTGCAATCAGATATTCTTGCCCTTTTCTGTTGTGGCAACTTGCAAGCTTGTTTGATGGCAAGGGGAAAGGGAACAAAGCAGGTGGCTAATGGGCTGTTTTTCTGTTTCAGTGGAGCATGACAGAGAGTTTCACCATCAGCGCTGCCACTACCGGGAGTTCAGGTTTGATCTCTCCAGAATCCCAGAGGGGGAAGCAGTGACAGCTGCCGAGTTCAGGATATACAAGGATTACATCCGTGAACGCTTCGATAATGAAACATTCCAGATTAGTGTCTACCAGGTACTTCAGGAGCACCAGGGAAGGTGAGTGACCCACAGGGAAATCCCAGTGAAAGCTCAAGCACAGTGTGTGCCTTCAGAGAGCTGCCTCCAATACTTCTAGAAATACTGGTGCCGTCAGCAAAAGTGTCTCAAGAGCTTGGTTTAGGCATCAGGGTTATACAGTGAAATCTCAGTCAATGCTAATGCAGTGGGCACTTAGCTGCCAAGCATGGTCTCCCACCGAGGTCATGGGAGTGCCCAGAGAGCATCCCCAGCACTTTCCTGGGAACACTCAGTAGCTGAGGAGCCAACAAGCCTGGCTGTGAGATAGAGTAGGAAAAGATCATAAACTCAAGAGTGTTTCAATATTTCTGGAAGACCTACCCTCCCACCCTCTTCCTCCTGCTGCTTATGGATTCCGAGGTGGTGAAACCACATCCGAATGTGTCCTTTCTAATTGTAGCTTAATTACTAGCCTTTATTACCAAAGGCATTCGAGATCCGTAATTAGCAAAGACAGATGACACCATGCTTTTTATATTGACTGATTGTTTTGCATGTACAAAACTACAAGATGAGCTATTAAATCCATTCCAAGCAATTATTAATGTATGCCAAGCTCCCTGACAGATCCTCTAGGGAACTTGAATAAGAACATATGTTCAATTTTCTCATCTGTTTTTAGTTCCAATTAATCAGCAATCCCCAACCATTTATCAAAGGCAGTTACTTTCATTTGCACTTATTTCTTTTACATACAAATCCTACCAAAAGTGAGATTGTATTTATTTACATGAAAAGTATTTACAGTCACATGCTAGTCAAAAGTTATTCTTTAGCACGACTAAACATGAGGTAATAATACTACAGCCCTAATTTAGGTTTATGAAAAGAGAACCACTGGGGATTTAAAATGGGAAAGTCCAAAAGGGTAAGAAAAAAAATAGTGTAAAATCAGGATTCTGGGTTTATATTTTTATAAGATCTAGTAAAAATGCAGAAAAAACTTTGAGATATGATGGGAAACCTTATCAACTTTTTTAAATTATGAGAATTTCTACTGGCTTTGCTGTATGGTAAAAGTGTTCAACCACTGGTGTATTTTCTTCCACATATGAAATTCTAATTTTCTGGCTTAAAACTCAAGGTTTCCTTGGCCTAATTAAATGATTATTTGCAGGGTTTGGGGACTATGCTAATATTAATATATTTTTATCAAACAATGATGATTCAAACTATATGTTTTAACCAGCATGCTTACAGGAGAAGGCAACAAGCCACAAATGTGCACAGGACCCATTAGCTGCCTTGCTTACCATAAGCATTTAAGCTTATTCCATCTTAGACTCTTCCAGAGATAGAAGCCTCCCTTTGCTGCATTTTGGGAGTATTTAGGTACAAGCGTGAAGGGATGACTTTCTGCTTTTGGGAAGAACAGAAACAGGCGATGTGTTGGCAGATGAAGAGGCCCTAACCACAGTGTTGGGGCGTTAGGGAGTTGCCAGAAACCTGTTCTTGGAGTAAATGTCCTTTCTCATCAGATGCCAGGGAAGTTCTCCAGATCCTGATGAGCGATGTAGGTGCCCACTTACTGTCAGAATTAGGATGACATTTAGTGTCTTGATTTTACAATGATACATCCACAGGTTTGTTTCCACTATAGAGAGGCTGCAAGGTACCCACTGGGGATAGTTACATGAGGAGCAGCAGATGCTTCTGCAAACTGTTTCCTTCACAAATACTTATTCTTAAAGGAAAAAATGTATGCAAAAGACTGGCATAAACATGAAACACTGCCTGGAAGGGGTGAGAAATCTTGCTAATTATGCAGATGTTCCAGCTACAAGATTAGATGCAATTTCACTACATCATATTCACCACAGGAACACTGTTTTTAATGAGTGTTCCTGCATGTTCACCTTTGCATACATTTTTGGCACAGGCAGTAGTGAGTTTTGAATAGTTTGTCCTGAAAAAAGTACTCCTGTTGGTTTGGATTGACCAAAGGTAAAAATATTGTCACTAACATTTGTAAAAATATTTGCTCTTTTTCTGCATCTTTCCACTGACATTTTCCAACCAGCTCTGTCACAGACCAGTCATCCAAGTCAGTGTGTCATTGGGCAAGTGGAGAAAGAAAACAAACCTTCTCCAACGTTGATCAAAAAACACCCATTCACTTTGATGCTTCCTTGGCTGTTTGTCTCATCCTGAGCAGGCTGGAAAGTCAGACCCATCTGACGTTGTTAGCAACAAGAGCAAAACAAAGCCAAACCTTCCCCCCACGCAGGCAAGAAAACCTTTGCTTGTGTTTGGCTTTGTAGATTCTTTTCCCTAAAGCATGGCAGGTGCAATGGACAACAAAAACCCAAATGGCTTTCCCTCTCCCTGTGCTTTTGTGATGATACAAGAGCAGTGGGATCTCCCAGGAGATTGCTGGAATTGCCTTTCGGGATCTGGAACACCAGGTACTCTCCAGGCCTGTTTAAGTGCACCAAGACGCAGATGCTTGGTGCCAGGCTCCCCCGAGGCAGCTGCAGCATTATCTCTCCTTTGTAACACACCAACACGCAGCAGAGATCCGGACAGCTTCTAGGGACACAAAACCAGCATGGGATGCAGCTGAGACTGACTGGATCTGTTTTCCTTTGAGGGTGAAGAGACCTTCTGATACGCTGAAGGCTTGATTTTCAGTTAAACTTCAGATAAGCCTCCAGTTTGGAGGGTGTAATGGTGCGCCTCAGTTCAAATAAACCATAAGTATGAGCAGTTCAACAATTAACGACTTGCTTTACGAGTTCAGACAGGCTGGCAGGTATCTAACCAGCAACAGCTCTTGTCTGCAATTTATTGTCAGTGAAAAACACAGGCATTGGTTTTTCCAGGCAAACAACTGCACCCACAGCACATGATTCCTGAAATCCTGCCCCTCAATACTACTGACATTTAAACACAGAGTGGAAGTTCTCCTCCATCTGCCTGCTCAGTCGTGGGCAGACAGACACCTAACAACCTTGTCTTGACCTTTGCAGCAGAGGGGATGCCACTCTGGACTTTGACTAATAGACGTTATATCTCTGTCAGACTGACAATATTATTACAGGTGTTTATAGGGAATCAGAATAAGTGATCAAATATTCTTTCTGGCCTTTCCAAATCTATGAATTCATTGCAAGTCAAGCTTGTCAAACTGGCAACATCTCCTTTATAAAAAGGCATGTGTGGCATTCCTTAGGCACAAAGCTTCAGATCTGAACTTTAAGAAAACAAGTACATTCATGAACAAAAATGTTCCTTATATCATAAACACTGTGAAAACAGTTGATGTTTTGACTAATATAACATGTCTCAAAGCTTTCGTGTTAAATAACGAAGTCCAGTGACTCATGTTCAACTTCTGTTTGGTCTTCATGGTCTCACCCAAAAGGCTGGGAGAGAGTTTTATAAAGCCAGTGAGTGAGCAGCAGGACATCAAGTCCCTGTTTATGGTCACTAACCCTGCTAGTGGGAACTAAAGGTTGCTATCAGGGATCCGGATGCTGCTCAAGCTTCCAACTCCTCCCTTCTGGGTGCTGCATGAAAGCAAAGCAGATTCCAGTGCTAGGGAGTGCACATCACAGGGCACAATGCTTGCTACAAGGTGGTGAAGGTCATTGATCTCAGGCATCTATGTAGGGGATGTTAAAATAAAGCTTATAGGTACGAGCCTGAGAAGAATGAACTTTGATACTTTTACAGTGCAATCATGGAATAGTTTGTGAACTATTTTGCAAAAGAAATACCCGTTGCCCTCAGACTCTCCCTATTGTTGTGAGCAATGGCCAAAGGAAGAATTTCAAGGTTACTTAAGTGCTGAAGAGGCATACAGGTGTGCAGTGGGATTTCTAACAGCAGCCAGGCAGGTTGGATACCTAACTCCTATTGCAATGGATTGGAAGTTGTGTGTTTTCAAAAAGTTCCCATGCAGTTCTGGGGTGGATTATCAGTCAGGGCATCATCCTCAATGTATTAACCTGAAGCTGCAGAAAAGATGCAGATTACATCGCTCCCCTCAACATAGAGCTCGATGCTCCCCATCTGCCTGTACCTTTAGAAGCTAAAATACCTTGGCCCAGAGTTACATCTCAGATTTCATTGGACCCAGCACTTACACTGTGGAGTAAATCCCAACCCCATTGAAGTTGATGGGAGTTCTGTTACTGGGAGAATAAATCCAGGTACTTGACCAGCATTTGGTAATTGACATGTAGCTGCTACATGTTCACTTTGTGGCCATTATGGATTTCACAGGCTTCAAAGGCAGTGGATGATTTGAATGCTCATGTTACAAGCCCTACAGAAAAATAAGATCTTCCATGGTGCATTCCTGGATTTGACTAGTAGCTGGAACGCTTTAGTTTGTGCTCCAAACTACACCACTTCTGCACCCAGATCAAACCTGAGCCCTCTCCGGACCCCCTTTTCCCGTTCTTTGGAGTCTGTTTCCATGTTGTGGGTTGTAACATGTAATCTAGTAACTAAGGCTCAGGCCCACTCAACCCATGAAGCAGATGTGCCATTCTTCTGGAGCTTTTTTAAGTACCAGAGTGATCTTTCCAGGGATGGTGCCACAAAGAAGGGCGTAGTTTGTTTTAATGTTGTGGCCCAGCACCACAACAAGTGGTGCAAGTACTGACACCATCTAGAAAGGTGCTGACAATAGCTTTGATTTTTATTTTTATGGTGACTTCTCTGCAAGTCAGTTGGTAACTGCACTCATCTCTTAGCAAGTAGGGAACTTTAGTTCTCTAGGAACAGAGCTGCATCTAATTCTCTCTTTCAGACCATTCCTGAAAGCCACTACAGCCTCCAAAACCTCTGACAAATCTTGAACTCACTTAGCAAGGCACAACTCTTCATAGGCACTTGAGTAGCTGCAGGAGGTATTCTGCATACCCCAGTGGACTCTTGCTCAGCTAAGTGATGCACTAATGAACAGCGATTCAATGCTGAATAGAAACAGCTGGATATAAAGTGTCAGAGAGATGTATATAACCTCATTT